GGGGGTGAGGGGTGAGGGGTGGGTATGTTGTTGCGGGTCGGCATGGAGAGCGGGAGGGCCGCCGGGCGGCCGGCGGTGCTGCGAGGGCGGGAGGGTGTCGCCGCGTGCCAGGGACAGACGCAGCCGATGCGGGACGGCCACCCTGTAGGGGCAGTTGGCCACGGTGGCCCTCTCCTGGGCTCGCTGGGGTCGCCAAGCCGGACGCCTAGCGATTCTGCCGACCCCACCCCACCCCCCCCCCTCGTCTCCCGGCGCCTTCGCAGCCGGCGGCGAGGGCGTCTCGTCCCACCTGTCGGGTTGTTTTCGTACTGCCACCACTGGTCCAGGCCCGCGAGCACTGCCGACCCCGCGAACAGCACCGCAAACTGCACCATCACCAGCACGTTCATGTTGCGCTCCAGCTGGGTGATCTGCGAGCACATTCGGGATGCGGACGCGGCGGCGCGTCGAGGCGCGCAGGCCATGCTGCTTGCGGCGCTGCTCGCGGCTGCGTGCTGATGGCAATGCTCTTGGATGTGCTTGAAGAAGTTGGTGGAGACCCGCGGTCCCCCGCGGCGCATCGGACCCGCCAGCCACGCGCCCGTCGCCCGCGCCAGCCCCACAGCTGAACCAGGCGGGCGGGCCCGCGACTCGAGCCACCCGCACCACCGCCTGCCCCCACCGCGACCGCCCCTCCCTCCCGAAACATGTCACGCACCTTGCGCGGCGCCTTGGTCATGTTCTGCACGATCTTGGCGTCCCGCCCCACGTTGACGGCCAGCCCTATGGCCCAGGCCGTCTTGCGCAGCGTGGAGCCGCGCAGCAGCAGGTTGTTGGCATCGAGCGGCTCCTTGGACCCGTTGACATCCATGAACCCGTCAAACACGTACAGCCTGCGTTTGGGTTGTTTGGGGGGCCGGGCGTTTGGGGGGTGTCGGCGCGGGCTTTGCGACGCGTGTGAGATCACGGCGGAGGATCGCAATTGTTGCGAGACATGAGGGCCCGCTGGGCGGGCGGTGAGATGAAACCCCGGGGCGAGCGGCCCGAGCGGGCGGCTCGGGGGGTGGATCGCGCGCCCGCTCCGCCGCCGATCGCTCAGGGGACGGTGGGGTCCCCTCCGCCTGCCGCGGCGCGCCGTGGCGGGGGCCCGCGCCCTGCAGCGATGCACGCGGGGGCTCACTTGGGGTTCGGCTGCTCGCAGCCGACGAAGCAGCTGCTGGCGAACTCCCGGAACTCCGCCGCAGTTGACCGGCCGGTGACCCCGGGGGTCCAGCAGTACTTGATCTTGAGGTTTGTCTCGCCGTCGAGGTTGGCGGTCTCGACGTAGCAGAGGTTTTCGGGGTCGGGGGTGGAGAGCAGCACCAGGTCTGCTGGCACCTCCTCGCCCTCCATGACCTAGTGTGTGCGCGCGCGCGTGTGTGTGTGTGTGTGTGTGTGTGTGTGTGTGTGTGTGTGTGTGTGTGTAATGCACGCGTGTATGAATGTGTGTGTGCGCGTGAGCGTGTGTGTGGCTACCGAAGTTGGGATTGGCCAGACGCTGCTTTTTAAGGGGCTACAGTGCAGTGCAGCTGCTGCCGCCGCGAGAGGCTCCACACCCTAAGGCTTGGCTCACGGCCTGCACACGCACAAGCGTTGCCGCTGCCGGCGTGGACGTGGCGGCTCGGGACGACCAGCAACAAAATGATCCGTCTGCTGCCTGCTCGGATGCCCTGAACTCCCCTCACAAGCATCCTAATGGACGCGTTCTCACCAAGCCCCCGTTGTCACCAGGCGACGCTCCCCCATCTGGCCTGGCTTCACCCCCAGACACCCCGCAAAGTCCCCTCGTGCTGCCACGATCCTCACATATGACCACTCAGCCCACTGTGAACCACCACCCCACCTTTGCTGGCACCCTACAGTTCCGTGTGTGCCTTGTTGCCCGTAAACCCCAAACCCCTGCCCCCCGCTCCTCCACCTCCCGCCCTCCGATCCCCTCACCGCAGCCAGCCCGGTGCCTTGATGCCGCCCCTTTCCGCCGCGACCCTCCACACTTCCACTGCACACACGCGCCCATCCACCTCCTCTCCCCCTGCCGACGGTGCCCTCAATCCAAAACCACCCAGCCTGCAGGGGGTCCGTCCAAGTCCAAAAAGGCCCGTCACCCCAAAAATAGCCCACGCGCCTTTATGAGGTCTCCCGCCACGACGTCCTTCCAGTACACCAAGACCTCCCCCGCCTCCCCGTCCAGCATGATGACCCGTCTGTTGTTGATCTGGGTGTCGTTGCGGTGGCGGCAGGCGTCGTCGTAGCCCTCTTTGACCGCGTTGACCGCCAGCACAAACACCAGCGGCGCGACCGTCGTGAACCAGCTGTCGGGGCGCGCGGTTTGATTTTGAGGGGGTGGCGGCAGGGGGGCGAGGTCGGGGGCAGGGCGGTCAGGTGTAAGGTACCGCAAGGGAAGTGCGCCGCTTTGTGCCCAAAAAGCGCCCGCTGCAACCCAGCATTTGATGTGCACGATGCCGTGTCGCCTCCAGGCGTCGTGGCGGCAGCGGCAGCTGCGTGCAGAACCCTGGCCATGCCTGCATGGCGATTACATGCAGCTGCATGCATGCATGCATGCGCGCGACCTGCTGCAGGGACGGCACGACACACGAGACCGGCCCCGCCCCCGCGCCGCGGCTGGGACCCCGGGCCCGCCGGTAGGCCGCCAGCTGCAGTCGCCCGCGCCGGCCCTCCTGCGCCGCCGCCGCAAGCGCGCCGGCGCGCGCGTGCGACCCGGCCGCGCGGCGGGCGGATGCGCGCACCTCGTAGGCGACAGCCCGGGGATGAGCTGGAGTATGGCGCACAGCAGGAAATACAGGTTGGCGACCCGCATGAACTGCTCAAAAAGATTTACTGGCAGGAACGTCAGCAGTGTGTACTTGGCCGTGCTGATCTCATTCGTAGCCACGTCCCCCTGGAGGTGGATGCCGAGCGCCTTCGCCGCGTGGTGCAGGCAGCCGCGCGACACCGGCGGGCGGCTGGTGTGCGGGCGGATGACGCGGGCGGGCGGCTCGAAGCCGTCGGCGGGCGCGGGGGCTGCTAGGGCGCCGGCGCTCTGCGGCGCGCCGGGGCCGGCGCCGCTCGGCCGCTGCTGCGGGTGGTGGTGTTGCTGCTGCTGCGGCTGTTGTTGTTGGTGCAGCAACTGCTGCTGGTGAGGCACGTGGACGTCACCATCGGCGCCGCTGCCGAGCCTGGGGCTGCTGTTGGATCGCCGCCCGCTTGTGGATGCATGTGGCCCGCCATTGGCCTCAGCGCTGCCCGCGATAGCTGCATGCGGCACATGGCGCTGGGGCAGCTGCAGCACGGCGCCGCTGCCAGGTGCCCCTGCCTGCATGGCGCCGCACGCCCACCGCTGCAGGCAGGCTCGGCAGTTCTAATGCCTATAGCGAGCTGCGTCGTCCACAGTGCTCCGCTCTGTTGTGATTGTCGTGCAGGTCTCTCCTGGCCAGGTCTGGGTCCGTGATTACGCTAGAGCGGCCTTCACACACCCCTTTCATACATTTGAGGTTTTATATACTATCAAATCACCGCGGAACCTGGAGTATAGCGGGCGAGCCCCATGTATCTGGACAACTAGGGACGTTGCACGAAGAGCTGAAGCGAAACGAGGCAAATCCGCCTCGTTATTAATCATGCTACTTCTTGATATGGCTGGATCTGGCTTGGGCCTGTCGATTTGTCAAAGCTGGTCAAATGAGGGAAAAGGCACTGATGGCCCCCAAATTGTGTCCTGCTTTTGCCACCGTCTGTCTCGTAGTAATTCGTGTGGATGTCTCAAAATCTATGCAGCCAGCATGGCTTCAGGGATTCAACACCAGCAAGCTCCCCCACGCCCAGCTGTTGGCCTGCTCTGCTCGTGCTGATGAATGGGGTCTGCTTGAGCATGATGCATGACTCTCCCCCTCCTCGCTCATAACCCTTTGAACATCCTCATAATTTACATGCCCCTTGCAGCGCGCTGGACAAGAGCGCTGCGGGCCACACTTGGATAGTGGGAGAGGGATGGCCGTTTGAAAGGGTTATGTGGGGCCACACCTCTGCGGGTGCGAGCACGTCGAGGACGAGCCAGTGGAACACACAAGGCGCCTGTAAATACAAGTTGCTTGTGCAGCAACCGTGAAGGGGGGGAACGCCCCGACGCCGCGGGAATGGCCGCTGCTTGCTTGCTTCCCCCAACTTGTGTGCGCTTCGTGCAGAGACGAGCGCTGAACTGCGAAATGCCGCTTTCGCAGCAACGCAGGGATGCTCACAGCCAAGCTGCTGCACTCAGGCGTGCCTAGCTGCAGCAAGCAAGACCGCTGGCGGCCGCAAAGCTCCCCCTAGGGCAAGCACAGCTGCAGCCGACGCTGCTGCACGACGCTGGATTAGTGGGGCGCCGATGCTGCCCAAGCCAATCCACACCGCAGGGACCGCTGCGACGGCCGCCAGCAGGCCGCGCTCAGCACAAGCCGCTCCTGCAGCCGGCCGTAGCTCCGCTCGCGCCGCCGCCCCGCCGCCTCTTCAGACGTAAGAGATGGGCCCCTCCAGGCTGCCCTCCGCAAACTGCCGCACGATCGGCTCATCCGTCGAATCGAACTCCTCTGTCGTGCCCTGCCAGACGACGCGCCCCTGGTGCAAGAAGATGATCCGGTCCACCGCCCGCCGGATCGTCGAGTGTTGGTGCGTCACGACGATGTATGACGATATGCCCCCCTCGCTGTCGTCGTCGCGCTGCTTCTGAAGGCTGCGAATAAGATCCTCAACCACCGTCGACGCAACGGGGTCGAGCCCCGCTGTTGGCTCATCATACATAAGCAGCTGCTCCACGCGCCCCGCCGCCGTCGCGGCCTCGCCGCCGCCGCCGCCGTCGGCGGCGTCCGACACCACCGCGCGCGCGAGCGCGACGCGCTTCTTCATTCCGCCGGACAGCTCGCTGGGGTAGAGGTCCTCCACGCCCTTCAGGCCCACCTTGGCCAGGCTCGCGGCAACGCGGCGGCGGATCTCGGCGGGCGGCAGCTGGCTGTGCTCGTAGAGCATGAAGCCGACGTTCTCCCCGACGGTCAGCGAGTCGAACAGCGCCGCGTTCTGGAAGACCATGCCGAGCCGCAGCCCCTCGCCGGTGTCGCCCTGGTCGGACAGCAGGCCGACGCGGGCCTTGCCGTTGATGAAGATCTCGCCGCGGTCGGGCGCGAGGAGGCCGGAGATGAGCCGCAGCGTCGTCGACTTGCCAGTGCCCGACGCGCCGATGATGCCCACGGCCTCCCCGCGCCGTATCTGAAAGCTGGCACCGTTAAGAATGCGCTTCTCGCCAAAAGACTTGTGGACGTTCTTTAGTTCGACGAGCACTTCGGCATCCAGGCCGCTGACGCCGTTGCTGCTGCTGGTGCTGGGAGCCAGGTCTAGAGAAGCGATGCTGGTCTCGTTCTGAAGCACCGAACACCGCTGCAGGCGCCCATGCGGCTGGGGCCAAGCACACCTGCTGCTGTTGTGTGCAAGGCACGGTCCCATGGCCGCTGCTGATCTCCGGGCACCGAATCCAATATCTGTATGCCTCATCTGAGACAACATCGCGTCGACTGGCTTGCGCGTGCTGATCTACAAGTTTGTGCTGTGCTGGTCTTATTGAGGGGTGTCAGCGATTACACGAGACAGCTCCGCTAGCGAGGACAACGGAGCTTTAAACCCAGAGCTACTGCTTGCAGTATGTAAGGCCAATTGCCGATGAAGCAATGCTGGCCAAAAGCGGCTTCCGAAACCCCACTGCTCGAATGTGCACCTGCTCAAACCTCATGACATGCGTTGTTGGCCACATCATCACCCATTGACTTCATGGCATTCCAGGAACCGCCTACAGATCACCAAATTGATGTTGTATGCTTGCCTTTTCTCTGAACAGGCTGTGGCGCCACCACTCGCCCCACGGTCAAGGTCCATGCTGACTGTCTTTGACCCACGCAGAATGGCTAACCGTGGAGGGGCCTGTCAGCCCCACCAACCCCCTCCAACGCCCCGCGACTTGCTGTAACACACATACTCAGCCACCAACCGAAATGAACACCTGTGCTAGAGATTACAAATCGAGCATAGCGACGCAGCAAATGGGAGTCGCATGCACAGCCATGGGTAAAGCTAAGGGTGTGTTGCGCGTGCCCCACTATCTAAACAGACCAGAACCTGCCACGCCCCACTGATACATGTCAGCTACAAACACTTGAGGTCACACTATGCTGTCAACGGTCCTCAACGAAATGAATAAAAAGCCCCCGCCCTCCTCACGTTCTGCTAGGCGCAGCCCCGCAGCCACACCTGCGACGTCTCGACGCCCCCCGCGCCCCAGCCCCCGCAGCGGCCGCCGCCCGCGGCGCGGCCGCCGCCCGTCGCTCGGCGGCCGACGTCAGCGCGACGTCATCGTGACGTCATCGTGACATCACGCCATCAGCGCGCGCTCCAGGACCTCGTACGCGTACACCTCGCTCAGCGCCGCGTCGCGCAGCAAGATCATCTGGAGGGGCGACGTCAACCAGTGGTTTGCGTGGTGCGGGGGGTAGGAGGGGGTGGCACGGGGTCAGAGGGGTGGTGTTTGAAGGGGTTCAGGAGATGCAGCCCAGGGATGGATTTGCATGTGAGTGAGTGTTTGGTGAACCAGGGGCGAGGGCCGAAGGCGGGCGCAAGCTGCGGCGGCAGG